AAGTATTATAAAAACAACATTTCGACAATTTATGTTTGTCAAATGAAAACACGTCAACGCTGGGAATTAACAACACAACACACAAATAATCTGAAAATAAGAAGCCATGGAAAGCTGGACCAAAAGAAGCAGAGTGTGGAGTTGTGTTTCTACACACACACAAAGAAAGCCGTGTGGCTTCCCCGCAGGACTTTGTTGAAACTAAACCATTTTATTAGAATCTGTTCGTTTAGAAAGACGAAGAGTTTTGCCCAGTGGCTTTAGAAAGACCTGGAGAAAACCTGGGATGGAGTTAAGGTGGAGCAACTTGATAATGTGTGAGATGCTCAGCATCAATTTTAAAAAAAAAAACAACCACCTCACAAAGGCATGAGAGCTCGATTTCAACAGGTCAAAACAAATAATAACAATAAAAAAAGAACGCATAATACAAGGAGATAGGAATTTATTCACATGGAAATAGCTATTTCGGTAAAAAAAAACCATTTGTTTAAATGCCTTAAAAAAGCGTGATTGTTGAGGTTATTACTAAACTATACTATTTTATGGCACTTGCTTTGCTTAACCATTTGCATTTCTTCAGAACCTTGATTTGTTTCTCTCAGAGAAACTCTGCTATTTGCTTCTTTTTTTAGAAAAAAAAAAAGAGCAGTGTGTCTGAAGTCTGTATGGTTCACTGGGAGTTCATTGGGATATATTTGCAACTCCTGAAGCAAAAATCTGATATTTTATCTTTAGAAAGAGTTACATTTTCTGAACTTATTGAATTTTTCAAAGATCAGCATGAAGAGTTCTGATTAAATGCTTGCTTCAGCATTTTAAAGGCTTCTTGTGTCCCTGTTGCCTAAAGGAGGTCGTACATTACGATTGCTCTGTAAACATCAGATTGTACAGAATTGGCTCATGCATACCACGCCAGGCACACAAAGAAGAAGTCAAATGGCTTATCTCTGGCTTATCAACGAGTTTATTTTTCATGCCCAAAAAGGGCTATTTTATTTTTTTTTTACAAGAGCAGCTGCTACTTTGTAAATAATTTAATGGCTTCTGTTAAGTAGAGCTGTCAATTTTGCAAACAATATTTTCAAAGAAGATTTTCGTTTTACCACAGGATTGCGTGTTTTATAATGCTTTTTTTTTTTTTTTTTTTTTTCCTTGAAAGTCCAGTGGAGGATACTGGAGAACGGAGCCAGCTTCAGATTTGCAGACGCAAATCCCAAAGGGAATGACACAAATACGAGCAGGGAAGGTGTCAGATCCCATCACCTGCACCCAGCGTTGAGAGAGCATCCTGCTCCTTAAAGGACGGGAAAACTTTTAGTGGGCTTGCAAAGGAATATATATCTGGTTGTTTCAGGCGGCAGTAGACGTAGCAATAGCAGCTATCAGCAAATTTTTGGAAATGCAGAATGTACCTGGTGGGGGTGTGTGTGTGTATATCATCCTAACACTGCTCACGACAAAAGGGATTTTTTAGATAGAGGTTATTAGTGCAGTATAATCCATATTATTGCATCTGATAAATAACTGTAGTGATGAAACAGCATTGGACACAATACCAACTCTCGAGTTTTTAAAATTTAAAATTCAGACTCAAAACCTCAGATCCCAATGTGATAAGCAAATACTGGGTTAGAATGAAAAAGAGCAGGGTTTTTTTTGTGCAATAAGCCAAAGGAAGAGCCCAGACTACCTGAATGCAACCTCTCAGGTGCCCCTTCTGGTACCTTCAATGCCAGCACAAAGTCAAGTCTTTATCAAGCCCCAAATCCAATCCCGAGCCCTCCCTCATCTAGGTGTGAGGACCACTGCTCTCTTTCAGCCCTATGGCATTGTTGCCAAAATCCTTCCCTTTTTAATTAAATGTGGGATGTGTTGCCTCTGGTTTGGGAAGGGCTGTGTTGTTTAAACAGTGTTCCTTGCGCGTTTGTTTTCCCTGCTGTAGCACTTCTCACAGGGATCGCAGTCCCATGTCCCACAACAGAAATGTTTATTTCTTTACTCTAGAGCTCCTATCAGATGGGTTTGTGGCTTTGGAACTGCTCCTGGCATCTGATCCTATCTAAGGTTCTACTGCAACGCTGCAGCTGGATAGAATAGGTCCAATCCTCCTGACTTGAGGTCAGCTCCAGATATGTAATTTAGATATGAAAGTGCAAAGAAATCTACTTGCACTCCCATGGGTAAGAGCCCTCTTCACCCCCCCTGATTTTGGCCACGAGTGTGCTTGCCTATGACCAGCTGCTGTTTTCCAGGAGGTTCCTATGGATCCAGTATCATTATTTAACAAGGTCTAACCCTGCTGCATCCAGCCAGCGGCCGTGGTTATCATTGCTCATAGCGTTCTTATATTAGAAGTACGCCACACGGGGACTGGATGCATCCAAATTGTAGCCCACTCCAGGTTACAAAGCCACTGGGTCCCACCCAGAGCTGAATTACACTGAAGTGGTCGATGTGAGAGGGCTGTGACGTTGGAATAGGCTGCCCAGGGAGGTGGTGGAGTCACCATCCCTGGATGTGTTTAAGAGTCGTTTCGATGCGGTGTTGGGGTAAATTGCCTAGGGGAGAACGTTTTAGAGGAGCGTTGATGGTTGGACTCAATGATCCCAAGGGTCTTTTCCAACTTGAATGATTCTATGATTCTATGATTTATTCAGATCTGGTTCCCAGCAGGTACGAGAAAATGCACATTAATGGTATGGTGGAAAGAGATTAAGACAAAGCTGACCCAATCCTATTCGGTTTCCTTTCCCAGTGCACAGTCCTCTCTTGGCATCTCTCAGGGTTTTACGTTCTGAAATGTCGATGCCACCGCTCCTTGGAGCTGGGTCAGCCTCAGGGATGATGTCTAAGGAGAAGCCACGGACATTCATGTATTGGTGAAAGACTGTAACTTCAAGGGGATAAGTTATGTAGGCCTTACACATTACTGAGTAGGTGAAAAAAAGAAAAAAAGAAAAGAAAAAGTATGAATTGATGGCTCACACTGTACATCTTAGCTTTGGCATTTAGAAAACTAACAGCTTTAACATTTCCCTCTTAAAAAGCGACGGCCAACTGAAGAGTGAGTTTCTTCAGGACCGAAGCCTGGGTTCACAGGTGGAAGCAGGGTAGTGAGAGCCATTTCCCTGCACAGAGGCTCCAAAGTTTGTCCCACAAGAGCTGTGCTGGATTTTGCCTACACACACGTCAACAGGAACTTTGTTTAAGCCCTTTTCCAGAGTTCTTTGTGCATATCCAAAGCGGTTCCTCCTGTGCCTTAGTAAGTTTTCCATATTGCTCCCCTCCTTCTCTTGGCTGCTGACTCTGCAACAGGCTCCAAGGAGAGATCTCCAGAGAAACCTACTTTACTTGTCCTTGATTTGAGTTTTTCTAGGCGTAGAACATTGCTTGTACAACTTTTTTCTCTTCTCCTATTTTTCAGAGAATCACAGAATCACATGGGGTTGGAAGGGACCTCTGGAGATCATCTAGGCCAACCCCCTGCCAGAGCAGGTCCACCCAGAGCAGGTTGCACAGGAACTTGTCCAGGCGGGTTTTGAATGTCTCCAGAGAAGGAGCCTCCACCACCTCCCTGGGCGCCCTATTCCAGGGCTCTGCCACCCTCAAAGTAAAGAAGTTCCTCCTCATGTTGAGGTGGAACTTCTTATCTTCAAGTTTGTGCCCATTTCCTCTTGTCCTGTCCCTGGGGACCACCTAAAAAAGACCAGCCCCATCCTCTTGGCTCCCACCCTTTAAGTATGGGAAGTTCTCCTTGGAATTTTTTATTCAAGGTAGAGAAGGAGTTGCACCAGGGCCGGTTTATCTCCTTTCTTTATTGCAACACGGTGTGCATGCTTGGAGGTGTGTTGCCCCTGACCAAGTTGGTTGTTTTCTGTGAGTCTCCACGTGTGGGAAACAGCAGCCCAGGCAGAGAGCATCAGTTGCCAAGGCAAGCCAAATCGGTTGCCACATTTCGTCCTCTCCTGCACCACAGATGTTAATAATATTTAGGTAGCATGAAGAGTAAAAATAGTCGGCAGCAATCTTACGGTGTTAGCTGTTTAGGACTTGGAGATTTCATCAACGCTTACAAGTAGATTTGCCCTCCTGAGCTTTCTGGGTCTCCAGCCAAAATGTAAACTAGCAGTACGCTCGCAAGAGCATTATATTCTCCGCACTGCCCATGGTGTTGCCATGGGTATCGTGCAGATTAGCTTGTACAGGATCTGGGAAGGCAGAGAACAAGGGGAGAAAAACAGGATTAAAAAAAAAAAAAAACCCACCAAAACAAACGCAAAAGGGTCTTATGATTTTGAGAAAAATCTTTTAAAGTCTTTATCTGTAACAGGATTTTTTTTTTTCCTTAATCCAAACTCTGCTAGCCTGGGGGTTGATTAAATTTTTTATTTATTTATTTTAAGTCTCACACCTAGAATATGCAATTCCTCCTCTATATTTTTAGGTGGTATTTTCAAACAATTTCCTTCCCCAAAGGGCTCAAAGTGGAACTTGGGAATTGGAGGCCCTCTCCTTCACTCACTTGAAGACTTCAGGTCTTGATTGTGAAGCAAAATATTTTGAAACAAAGCTAAGGGAAGTCTTTATTTTTAAAGGAAGGATTTACACATACTCTTGCGGGGAAAGGGTCCAATTGGTAAGGCTTTGATCCGTACGGCACCAGTGAAATACTCCCGTGCAGCAGCCTTTGGCAGCCAGGTAGACCTTCTGTAGATGACAGTTCCTCCTCACTAGCTAAAGCCAACACACACTCACTCACTCCCTTCCAAAAGCTCCTGGACGTGTTGTTGTTGCTGACCGTTCACTACCTGGCTTTCTTTCCAAAGGGAAAAGTCAGGAGTGAAAGCTATGTAAGCAGAAGGTTTTCCATTTGAGTTGATCCATTACAACAGAGGACACCCATGTCCCTTATTGATATCTAAGGCAAACAGTTGGCAACTTAAGCAGTAGTTTTACACTAAGTAAGCCTGATTCCATATCTTGATTCTTCCTAACAGAACTTCTGGGGCAGTCAGATGAAGAAGGCGCGTCTGGCGAAGCTTTCATCGGCCGACCTTCAAAGCACAGAGGAGACCACGACCCTCCTGCTCCCGGTCCAGCCCTTGGACCACCAGCACAGAGCAGCGCCCACAGGTGAGGAAAGGGCACAGGGGCAACTTACCTCTCTGTCGAAGGCTAAGGAAAATCCCATATTTCCATAACAGAAAATGGAAGGGAAGGGAGGAACAATTAATGCTTCTGAAATGTATGCTTGATATTCTGACCTTTCCCAACAACCTCAGTTGTCATCTGCGTCATGACCGCAAACAGAATATTAAGACACTAAGCAGGAGCTAAGGAAAACTTGGAAGCCAGAAGGAGATGTATGGACACAAGGCAATCTTCAGAAACAGGCAGTTTGCAAGCATTTAAGATGCACTAGCAGAACCGTTTTTAAATTAAAGCAATTGGGCTATTGCCCAATTCACCACCTTCTTTGGTGAATGTGCAGGAGAGAGAAATACAGTAATGGAAGCCCATCAAATCAAGAAACAGAGCTTTTTGTGAGCCCATCACCAGCCAGTGACTGGCGTCCCTGTGATGATCTTTCAGGAGCGCACTTCTTCCAAAGTTGATTGAAACCCGGAACTTACCTGTTGGAGAGAAACAACAGGTCTGACGACTGTGGATTTTTTTCAAGAAGTGTGTGTGTGCTTACGTTGCTAGTGAACCAGCACACCACCTTGCAACGGATGGGAAATCGCCATGAAACAGCTCTTCCGCAAAGATTTGAAAGGCATTTCTTTCTCTTCGTGTGTTCTTGATAGAAAATAAAAACAATTATTTGTTCCCAAAGAGCATATAGATGCATTCGTTTTTATTTTCTATGCCTCCTGTATGTAGGAACATCTTTAGTAAATCTAGTGTGAGCGCGACGTTGACCTTCCACATTGACAAATCATCAAACCCATCATACCCTTTGAATATAACTGTGACGACCACTCTTCACGTGGGCAAGAAACACATTTCTTTCTCCTTCTGGAAAGCTAGTTTTTCCTAGTTTTGCCTAGTTGTTTTTTTTTTGCCTAGTTTTCTGTCTTTCTTCGCATGAAGAGATAGAGCTTTTGCCGTATGAGATATAATATCCACCGTGCCAGCTGCACACCACTAGTGAAATATTTATTTTAGGCATAGCCTACAATTTTTCAGAGATATCTGATGGATTTGGGGATGGGACCTGCTTTTAAAACTGTAGTGCACAATTATTCTCTCTTAACTTCGGGGGTGGGGATGGCACTGCATTGACACGGGCAAGTAATAAAGACAGCAGGATCTCCCTGGAGACTCTTGCTGACGACGGGGGACTTTCCAAGGGCTCCAATAAAAGGAGCTCCTTTAACAGGGTGCTAGAGCAGCGACTAATCCCAACATGCCTCTGATCTGAAGGTACAAGCACCCTCTCCTCCCTTGGGCTCACCTTTTCCCTTTCGGAGGCTGCTATGACTCACGCATCCCTCTGGCAGAGCCGCCTCTGCCTCCGTCACGCGTCTTGGGAGAGACATTGCAGAGTTCACCTTCGCTCCTGGGGTTCCCCACCTTCACCGCCTTCCCCTGTCCCAGCCCTGGTGGGCCACCAAAAGCTCCTGAGCTTCACCGGTGGCTCCTCGCAATAGGGGCTGCAGGAACCTCTAGGATTTCCTGAAGGCTTTTGTTTGCCTCTCGCTGGGTCCAGTGAGTATAAAGCCATCTCCCCACCCTCACCACCTGCAAACTGCCTGCAAACTGTCCTCCCCCAGCGGCACCCGAGGGAGTTTTGTGGTTGCCTCTTGCGGAGCTGCGGAAGAAAAACTTCTCCTGTGCCCCTGGCTGGCCCCAGCTCCTCGAAGCCTTGCCAACAGGATTTTTTTTTTGAAGGCACTCCTTGTGACAAGGCCAGCTGGCTGGGAAGGTCACCTCCCGAGGCGCCAGGTGACTCCAACAACCTCTTCTCTGAAAAAAGGAATAAAATAAAAAAAAAGAAAGAAAAACCACCGCAGAGGGTTACAAGCACGTAACCATGGCTCACGTTTTGCCTCCGTTTTTCACAGAGTTTGTTTTCTGTCATGCTTCTCCTGCCACGTCTGCATTGGGCTTCTTCACGTGAAGAAACTTGTGTAGGGAGAGGAAAGGTTTTGAGTGTTTGGAGCCCACATGAACTGGGACGTTCTGAGTTCATGGACGTCGCAATGCTGCTTCTCTCTGTTGGAGCATCGGGCTGTGATCAGTGAGATGAAACTCTGGATTCTGCACCCAGGAGGGAATAACGCCGGGCACAAGTATAAATGGGGAGAGAGGCAGCTGGAGAGCAGCCCTGCAGAAAGGGATCTGGGGGTGCTGGCTGGCAGAAGACTCAATAGGAGCCAGCAGTGAGCCCTGGTAGCCACAAGGTAGCCACATCCCCGGGGGGCATCAAGCACGGCGTAACCAGCTGGTCAAAAGAGGAGATTATCCTGCTGTGCTCAGCATTAGTGTGGCTTCACATGGGGCACTGCATGTAGCTCTGGGTCCCACCATTTGAGAGCAATGTGAGGGTCTCGGACATGTGGAGAGGAAGGCAACAAAGCTGGTGAAGGGGCTGGAGGGCACATCCTGTGAGGAGCGGCTGAGGACACTGGGTTTGTCTACTTTGAGGAGAAGGAAGGCTGAGGGGCAATCTGATGGATCTCTGCAGCTTCTTGAGGAGGGGACGTGGGGAGGGAGGTGCTGAGCTCTTCTCCCTGGGATCCAGGGACAGGATGTGTGGGAAGGGTCCACGGCTGCACCAGGGAAGGTTCAAACTGGACATTAGGAAGCATTTCTTTACCAAGAGGGCGGTCAAACACCAGAACAGGCTTCCTGGAGAGGTTGTTGATGTCCAGTGCCTGTTAGTGTTTAAGAGGCGTTTGGACAATGCCCTTAATAATATGCTTTAATTTTTGGTCAGCCCTGAATGGGTCAGGCAGTTGCACGAGATGGTTGTAGGTCCCTTCCAACTGAAATTATTCTATTCTATTCTATTCTATTCTATTCTACACTACTCTACGCTACTCCATTCTGTTCTATACTAGAGATTTGGCTGCCTAATCTGAGACATCAGCAGAGGACATAGTTTATAACGGGTAAATGGTTACTTGAGGACATTGATCCAACACGTGAGCCCAAAATTAAATCATATTTGCTTTCTACTGCTTCAGTGAATACACTCGAAAAATGGCAAAGCCGCTGCTTTACTAAAATGCGGGGAAGTTTATGAAATCACAGCTGTACCGCGCTCACAGCTGAGCGTCTCGGTGAGAGCACAGCAACATTATTATTATTCTAACTGATTTCCCACATCACAAATTCATATCTGACATTTCCACTGTCCACTTCTTCCCAGCCTCTAACCACTGCCTGCAGTTTCAGAATCAATAATCGGGACACATTCTCCCTCCTGTAAAGGCCCTTCGTTGTTCGTTAGCTTGGTCATTGTTTTTTTTGTTTCATCATTGACTTTCTCCATTTTTCATGCTGTTTAACGCTAGTCTTCACTGTTTATGTATTCTGCTCACCAGTGAGGTAAACGTACATCCTGAATCATTTCCTATTTACTTCTGAAGTCTTTCCCCCTCAAGAAAAACAAAAGAAGAGAAATTCCATTTTTGTAATAGAGTTGCTACTCTTCTTCTCTGTTCCTGAAGCCCATGCACAACACAGCCTCTTCTCTTGGCCCAGTCACTTCAACCACTCTCTGTATGTATTACTGTAGGCAACTTGTTCATTTACCTCCTCAGCATCATTTAAATCCATGAGATGTTGCCTCTGAGGACTTGACTTGTAGTCTGGGGAGCCAAGTTAGTCTATAGCTTTTGTTTCCTTCATTCCCCTGTGTGCTGGCACGTTGTGACTTCCTACAGCAGATACAGTCCTTTCTGGTGATGTGACAAGAGTCAGCTCAGATCTGGACTCCTGAGCATTGCTCCAAGTTGCTCTCTCAGGATGTTTGCCAGCGCTGACGGTTCATTTCTGCTGTTGTCCATCACAAGTCCCCACTGTGTCACAGATCTGAGCTGAGGCAACCTTGAAGTTGGGTCTAACTTAACAGTTGAATCTGCTTTGAGAAGAGGATTGGGCAGGATGACCTCCAGAGCTCCCTTCCAACCAACAATCCGTTGATTGCAAGTCAAGCCTTGGTGTTCAGAGGCATTAGTCTTGCAATTAAAACCTCACAACCTTGTGTATACAAGTAAATTGCAAGTCAGATGAAGCCCATGGCACTACTCATGTGCACTTGGCCTGCATGAATTCAAGTGTCCATGGCAGCACTCCCAGGCTCTGCTGTCTCCCACGTAGCAGTGGTTCCCCTAATCTCTGTAAGACACCGTGATGGGACTTCGCAGGTGTTCAGCAAGAGCAGTTGCTCTTTGGTCTTTCCCAGAGTTGCCCAGAAGGTCCATCTGCTTTGGCTTTACATCTTTGTACCAGCAAGTCACACCAAACCCATGAACCTACATTACTGCATTTCTAGCACTGCCACCCCTGTCAGGCCCAGATACTGTCCCAAATCTAGATCTCACCCAAGTTTCTGGAAGCTCATCTCTAGCACAACCCTGCACTTCTTTCTTTCCTGTATTTCAGCTTTGACAGAACCTTCTGTTTTGGGACAGCTGAGGTATCCCATCTCATGAGTTACACCTTGGCAGAAGTCCTGGGCAATCTGTGAAGGTTAGCAGAAGACATTTCTGTTTAACTTATTTAATAGACCTTGTTACTGACACCCTTCAGGGAGCCTAACATCTACATATGTATAAGAGAAGCCCGATTTTCAGGCTGCACGATGAACAAATCAATTAACTCTTCACATCATCATCTCCTTTGGTGCCCTGCCTTACAAGGGAAGCCACAGCCTGGGATGGAGATGGGCACAGAAAAGGCTGGAATCAAAATGATCACTCATAAAAGAGTATCAAGGGTTTATTTCTCCAAGAACTTGTTCTAGGCAAAGTCTGGCTTCTCTTCTCAACAGTCAGAGAGCAGAGAACTTAGGTGGGAGACTAAAGTACGGTTTACAGACAGACAAAACTGGCTCACCTCCATGGCATTTTGGGAACATAGCAATAGTGTCGCAGTTGGTGAAGAACTGTAGTCAACTTTCTGAACTGCACACACACACACACAGAAAAAGTTATAGGCAATAAAGATTTCATGACAACACTCCAGATAGAGGCATTTTATTTGCTGCGTGATTTCTTTCACTTTAACATGAACAGGACAGTTAAATACCACTAGCAATGCACAGTTCAGTGAATAATTTTACAAGACAAAGCTCTCATCTCTGTCTTAAGTTTGTCATAGACCATGGCCATTCTCTCCTTCCAAGTGTCAGATCTTATAGCATAGCTATAGATGTTGTAGTTCTTGTCCTCTTAGTATTCGTGGTATTTATTTGTGGAAACATTTTGATCAGCACGACTTTTTTGCTGCCTGTAAACGAGGAAAATAGTTTCAGAAGGCAGGGAGGCTGTTGCTCAGAGGACCGAGGTAACATACTCATCCTCTCAGCAACGCGTTAAAGGAACTGATGGACTCCCTGTGGGAGTTTCCAGGTTGGAAAACCCTTGGGATCATCGAGTCCAACCATCAACCCTACTCTACAAAGTTCTCCCCTACACCATATCCCCCAACACCACACCTAAACGACTCTTCAACACATCCAGGGATGGTGACTCCACCACCTCCCTGGGCAGCCTGTTCCAGTCTCTGACCACTCTTTCCATGAAGAATTTTGTTTCCTAATGGCCAGTCTAAACCTATCCCATTGCAGCTTGAAGCCATTCCCCCTTGCTCTATTGCTAATTACCTGTGAGAAGGAACTCGCCACAGCCTCTCTACAATGTCCTTTCAAGTAGTTGTAGAGAGTGATGAGGTCTCCCCTCAGCCTCCTCTTCCTCAAACTAAACAGTCCCAGCTCCTTCAATTGCTCTTCATAAGATTCATTCTCCAGGCCCTTCACCAGCTTCGTTGCCCTCCTCTGCACCCACTCCAGCACCTCCAGATCTCTCTTGTGTTGAGGTGCCCAAAACTGGACACAATACTCCAGGTGTGGCCTCACCAGTGCTGAGTACATGGGGAGCCAACTGGTGAGTGCCTGCGACCGGGCCAGAGTCATAGAATCATAGAATGGTTTGGGGTTGGAAGGGACCTTAAAGACCATTGAGTTCCACCCCCATTAGACCAGTCCAGCATATAAGAGTCAGCACAGAGCTGTAGCCACAGTGGCTCCTCTGCCATTGGCTCTGGGAACTGGGGATGTGGGTTTTCACCCCATAGGTGTGTCATTCTGCTTCCCTACCGTAGCACATTGTGAGTTTAAATATCTTGCACTTGTTGATAGTGTCAGGATGTGTGTGAAGCTGGGTTGGGGTTGGTTTGGTTTTTTTAGCTTATTTATCCATCTACCTTGTCCCCCGTGTCCCCTCAACCAGAACTACTCCTATTTTTATTAGGATATCTCTTATTTTAATACGAGTGATTAGGATAGAAGGCAAAAGTATATATCACAGTGATTTTTTTCATAAAACTTTCCTGTTGCTTATGTTCTTAAAAATACACGTATTTCTATGGTTCTTCAAGGTTTTTATATGAGTTCAGAAGCATATTTGTATGTTTTGAATCTGTAGCATCACTGATCAAACCTCGGGAAACTTTAAGAGAAAGCTGCATGACAGTCTTTCATATCTGTATAGGATGGCTATTAAATCAGTGTAGAGAGAATTAGAGTTATCCTGTTGCATCCCCTTTTGCATGTCACGTAAAAAAAACAACCATTAAACAGATGTTTTACTCTTACCCCACTGTTTTGTGCAATTAAAGAAAATATAAGTATTCACCACCGTTATGGCCTTCTGTTTATTCTTCTGCCACCAATTGTTTTTCAAAAATCCTCTTTCACCAGGAGGCAAACCTGGTCTTAAAATAGGAGGAACGTAGGCTGGGAAATAGGGTCTGTCACAGGTATAATCCTACAAACTGCTCTATCCGTCCTAGCAATTTTTGGTTTGTTGGGCAAATTCATCAGTCAGTGTGCGAGCAGCACCTTGAAAATACAAAATTAACTCTTGTTAGCCCATAAGCGCTCGAGATGGATCAAGGTGATGCCTCTTGATTCCAGACAAAGGTCCTCTTGATTAAATTAGATTGCGAATGTATTAACACGTTAGCACACTTGAAGAAAGAGAAGTTTGAAAAAGCAATTTGGTTTCGTCACATGAGCAGCACGTATACTTAATGGAAATTTTTCCAGCATTCGCAAAACAAAGAAAAATCAATAAAATGCCTGCCAACTGTTCCTCTGAAAACATTTTATAATCTAGAGCGCCGAGAATCCCGAGCCAAGATAAACCAGCATCGCTGACAGAAAATACTGACAATTATTTTACATTGATTCAACTTGGCCCAGCCCAGACTGACCTTGTTTATTCATCTCGGTCTCTTAATTCATATTAAGTTGGCATCGAAATGGGACCATGTGGCGGGTGGGCTGAAGACCCATTTCTTTATCTTAGACGCAGATAAATGTAGCACATTGAGTACTTCCAGGGCAGTGAGCTCTTAGGTAGATTTATATGCATTAGACAGAACTGGTTAAGTTCCTTTTATCCCCGCTGGGCTTTTCATGTCTGTTGACTGTAAAACTAGAAGCTCGGTAGAAGTAACATCTTCTTCTAAGCCTTCGGATATACGTGAAATCCTCCCAGTACTGGTCAATTTTAAAGACTCGTCCAAAGAGGATGGAGGGGTTTAAGCTCTTTTAAAAACATAAAAATAGAAGGGTTGTGGCAATTTGGAAGCCAAAAAAAAGCAATTTGCGGGTCTCGGCAGAATGCGGGGCTGTGTGTAAGAAAGCTGATCAAGACACTACGGAGGAGATAATGGGGTCGAAGAGCAGAAGAATCCCTCCGTTTTTGCCACCAGCATAATCTGGTCTCCAAATGAAGTTTCTTAGTTTCTTTTGCTAAACCAATAAAGCTTAGCGTGCTGAGAGAGCTGCATTACTGCAGCTTACAGATGTCTCGGGAAAGCTGATGAGGAGACTTGCTTTGAGTTGCTTGATGGATGCCCAGCTGCTTGCGAGCGTAGCTATCACCCGGCTGGTAGTGTGGAGACAAAGGCACAGGGAAAATCTGAGCTTTTTCTTTAATTACGTACATTCTCATCAGTAATAAAGGTCTCTTTATGCCTGGAATGTATTATTTGTCCCATCAAAGACGAGCGAGATTTCACAAATTGGGTGTCAAACGTGACTATGTCCACGAAGGAGGAAAAGCCACCCAAATGAGGACAATCCCCTCCCCAAACGGGTTCCCAGTTGGCCTGGATTGAGAGGTTTAGTTTGTTTTGTCTCCTTCTTGCCCAAGGCAACGCTCCCTGGGACTTTGCTGGGCACGTGGCAAGTTTGGGGGACAGCAGGACGAGCGGCGGGTCGGCAAGCCAAGGTGGCACAAGAGAACCTCCAGATTTCCAGTTCCACTGCCTTGTGAATGGGTTGCCGTGCCGTACGCCCACATAAGCAGAGATTGATGATGAGTGAAGAAACCGAGACTGGCAAAACCTAAAAAAAAAAAATATATATATAAAAAAAAATTAGAATAAAAAAATAATCCGTTGGTGTTTTTCCTAACACGTGGCCGGTGTTTCCCTCCCTGCATCTCCTGCATGACTTGGATTTCAGTGATGGTGTGGGGACAGGGTTTAAGGGCAAAAAACCCAGAAAAATCAGTGCTGCCTTTTGGGTCTCCTGGCACCCACCCCACTGGCACCGTGTCGCATGTCCCCAGCCCTGTCCCGCTTCACAAAACCTTCGTTGCTCCAAAAAACCACCATCTTTGAGTGTCCGGATGGTGCTGGAGTGGCTGCACGGCCGAAAGGCGTGATCCAAGTGACGTTCAGTCAACAAACACACTGGCATCTGGTGAAAAAAAAAAAAACAAAGAGCTGGGGTTTGTAGCCAGGGAATTACACAGGCTGCTGTGTGCTTGAAAAGGTAGAAAAACAAATAAAACAGCTCTGGCTCGGCTCTGCAACGTCTCCCCAACTCCCGTCGCTTGTGTTTTCTTTTCAAAGACCCACCAGGCACGGACAGGCAGAGGACACCCAGCGCAAGCCAGGAGAGGAGGGCCCCACCACCTCCCGAGTGGAGAAACCCTTTCCCAGCAGCCGGGGAGGTAAGAGAACGAGTTGCTTTCCCATGTGCAGAGGGGGATGAAGCTAGAAGTAACGGTGATTGGAGGGTGAGTCTTATGAAGGAGCTGGGACTGTTTAGTTTGAGGAAGAGGAGGCTGAGGGGAGACCTCATCACGCTCTACAACTACTTGAAAGGACACTGTAGAGAGTGGTGCTGGGCTCTTCTCACGGTTAAGTAGCGATACAGCGAGGTGGAATGGCTTCAAGCTGCAACAGGGTAGGTTTAGACTGGCCATTAGGATTCTTCACAGAAAGAGTGGTCAGAGACTGGAATAGGCTGCCCAGGGAGGTGGTAGAGTCACCATCCCTGGATGTGTTTAAGAGCCGGTTAGATGTGGTGTTGGGGAATATGGTGTAGGGGAGAACTTTGTAGAGCGGGGCTGATGGTTGGACTCGATGATCCCAAGGGTCTTTTCCAACCTGAATGAGTCGACGATTCCATGATTCTATACCTTGAAGAAGAACTTGGATCTAGGAAATCAAATAAGGCACTGTGGCATGGGACTCGTCTGCCTGCTCTGGCAATGTAGAGTAAATCACCGGATCAAATCAATCTCCTTGTCTTGCAGCGCCATTCATGAGTTAACAAAGGCAGGCAAAGTGTCTATTACGTTCTGTGTTGTTATTCGGTGCGTGATGGCCAGGACCCCAACCAGTTAGGTGGCCCACGAAGCAGCGTTTGGCAGCATTCAGTGCCCTCCACCACAGCATGTTCAAAGCAGTGCCTCGGTATAACAAGAGGAGAAAGTCACAGTTAAAGAGTCATCCTGTAGAGTCAGCCAGGCGGGGATACGTAGGAGGTGTTTGCACAAGGGGTTGAGACGAGGGGGTTTTTTTTATCTTCTGCCTGGTCCGGGTGTCCCACGGCTGTAGTGACAGGTCTGTAGGAACGGAGCCAGCAACTGCTGAGCCATGGATGAGACGGATGGTTCCCACCAAGCCGGCTCTGGGTGATGCTGAACCAGCAGCTCGCCACCATCAAAAAGTCCTGCTGCCCCCATCCCACCCCACCACCACCTTCTGCCATGGTTCTATCATCCTGGGATCACACAGGGGCCGCCAACATATTAATCCGAGCCAACAAAAAAAAAAAAAAAAAAAAAAGAAAGATTTCTTTTCTTTCTTTCCCGTGGGCTTTTGTCCATCCCCTGACCCAAACTGCATCGCTTGGGGATCAGAGGACACCCAGCGAGGGGCAGAAGCACGTTGCCTGCAGCAGGACTCCTTTTTGATGTTGGCAGCTGCTAGTTTGGCTCAAGCTGCAACACGAAGCCTCATCCCCGAGCACCTCCAGCGGCAACCTGACAGCAACAAAAAAAAACCAAACCAAAAAAAAACCCTCAAAAAACCCACCCTCCCCAGACACAGGGCGAGCTCCACCACCCTACAGCTGTGGGCAGAGCCAGGACTCCCTCCCAGGAGCTTATCCCACTCTCGCAGCCACTTGGGATGCTATGGGAACCCCCAGCTGATCACCAGCCCCAGGTCTCCACGCTGCCCCGTCCACAAAAATCACAGTTGCTTTAACCCGGTGGAGCATTTGAGGAAATATAGGCACCCTGCGTGTGCAGGCTTGTATAAGCAATATATTAAATATTTTAATTCTGCCATTGAATAACAGGGTATGATATAGCTGTGTCCCATCAAAAAAGAATAAGAGTTACCTAATACCGTACCCTTATTTGTTTGGGTTTTTCAGTGAGTTCAACGGAATGTAAATAACATGGTGATCTTTATTTTCTTTTTTCTTTTTTTTTTTTTTTTTTCTGAAGGAAATTTGAGAGCGGTTCCTCCAGAGCAGGTAACGCATTTCTGATTTATTTATTATTTTTTTTTTTTTTATTTCTGCTTATTATTATTTACTCTATTTTGCAGCTTCCTGAAACTCCCCGAGCCTGTCCCTGCAAGCTGTCTGCCTGCAGGGCTCTCGCTTGAAATGGGTAGAAATGCTCCTATGCAACGCGGCTGGAGCAGGGCTTCGCCTGTGGCTTTGAATTGAGCCCAGCGCATAAAAAAGGAAAAATTATTATTATCCAGTGCCTGCTGGATGGGACCTAAGAAAGAACTTATTGTCCTCCACCCGTGTTCATCTCACGGGAGCCATCCGGCGCTCCGCATTGGCGCTTTCGAGAGTGAGACCACAGTAAGGAGGAGTGAAATACTACCCTATGGTTTCATGACTGCTTTAAGCTGATTTAGCTGCAAGGTGCTGCCAAAAGAGGTGGTCCATCCCTTCCCCCACCGCGAACCTCCAATCCTATGTCCTCCTCCTTCTCCCGCGCCGGCTTGGGGGCTTCCACCCCGTGAGAAGTTCGCTGGAGCAGGAGAGGAGGAGAAGACCTCCATGTAGGCATGGAGACCCTACCCTGTCCCCCAAATCTATCGGCTTCCCCCCCTCCCCGTCTCCTGTGGGGACGTTCCCTCCTGGCCTGGTTTGGTGCCCCGGGTGGTTGGGTGTTGGTGGGGGTGAGTATAGAGCACATACGTAGGGCGATGCTGTCTTCAGAGCTGATGAGTCAGCAGCAGGCAGCACCAACGCAGTCCTACTTTAAAGAGAAAAAAAAAAGAAAATAAAATAAAAGAAAAGAAAAGCTGTCTCAAGGCAGCATGGATAAAGGCACAAGATTGCCTGTATTTTAGCGTCCTCCCAATTGCAATTCTTGTCGAAACTTTTATTTTTGAGGCCAAAGTCGTCCATGTTTGGCGCTGGTACAAACAGATCATGAAGAAAAAAAAAAAGAAAAAAAAAAGAAAGGAAATGCTTCAACCTCCCAGCGGAGCAGGATGGCACTTATTTATTTTTTTCTTTCATTACAAAGCCAACCCGTGCCAAGTAAAATCGTGCTCTAAGAGCTGTTCTACCAGTCCCGAAGCGCTGGAGAACAACAGGCGCCGGCCCCACCTCTGCAGCCTCCCCGGGTGGAGGATGGGGAACGGCTGGGGAGCAGGTGACGGAGTTCACCATGGCGGGGACACACTGGCAAGAGAGCCCCCTCCTCAAAGGGTGAGCCCCTAGGATGGCTTTGGTGGCCTCGGGAGGCAGAGCAAAGTGAAATATAGCAGCAGCGAGGGTCTGGAGGTGTTGGTGGCATTCCTGGGTTTTGAGGCTGGGTCATCCAGCAGATCACTGCTCCTTTCCCAAGCTGCCTGTTAAACCCCCACCTAAAGAGGCTGAATTAATAAACTGAGAAGTTTGTTTGAAAGCTCTGGGTTGTCACAGGGAGTGACGCAAGGAGCAAAACTTTGCCATCACACAAGGGAGCATCCTTGGGGCCCAACAAGTTCCTGAGACCCAGCTAAAAGCTGGAGGGGGGAAAAGCGGGACCTCTGCATCCCTGGTGGGGCTGCCCTGATTTCCCCACACCTTGCAGAGCTGCTTCTGCAGGGTGAAATGGGGCACCTCCACCCTCCCTGACCTGTTGTAGGACTGAAGGACATGGGGCAGCAGCTCTGACCAGCGGAGGGGAAACCACTGGCTAGGTGAGGGGGAACCTGGTGGGCACACCAGGTTTTTCGGAGTAGGAAAGCCATCCGTCCACCCCACGCTGACTTTGCATGCCTGGGAATATCTTTTCAACCCCATTCTGCCCCGACTTATGGAAGTCTCGCAGCAATTGGGTACCAACAAGCACCCAGCAAATCAAAGCAGCTCCTTTCTAGCTGGACCCACCTCTGGCTTTCGTTCAGCCCAGCCCAAATCCCACCCAAATCCACCATCAGCAGCAGCTTCTCTACACCCAGACACCGCCACCAGCCTGTTACCAGCATCTGATGGACAACCCGTCCCGAGGTCCCACTTTCACCCTCCTGCTCCCCCCGAGGCTGGCGTCCCTCCACCACCGCTTCCCGCACGTTGCTTCAGAGGGAGCCCTCACAATACCGGGCTCAGTGCCACGCCAAGGGGAGCACACCCAAAACCCAGCCCTTCTTGCACAGTCAATTCTGCAGGAAGATCTCTGCAACTGGGAGACGGAGGATTTTCTTTGTGTCCCCTCCTCCTTCGCCGGTTCGTTGGCCAAGGGTCGAAGCCAGAAGTGACATGTGCCCTGTGCAAATGGCCACAGAGGCCTCAGTGGGGACGTAGCCAACGTGGACCCCGTCTTTTGTAGGTGCATCACAAGGCGCCTCTTCCTTGCTTGCTGCTGCTCTCAGCTATGAGGAAGCTTCTCCTCCCTGAAACCGTAAAGATCGTGCAACGAAATGTTCCCGGTCACCTGCCAGAGCAGCTGGCTGTCACACAGCCAAGCGACACTCAAGCAGTTGAACAAGATTTGTTTTCTAGAGCCCCACAGCATGCAAGAGGCAGCTCAGAGTCAAGACCGTGCTACTGCTGGCGTGTGTGTGTCCTCCTACCCTAGCAGTGCCAGTGGCTTTGCACTAGCAAAGGGCACACGTGTCCTCACTGCAGCGCTTTGGTGCATGGGTGACGATGGGCCAGGGCTGGATGGACCACCACAGTGGTCTCAGCTTGCAGGCAGGACAAACACCAAGAGCTGGTTTGGAACCGGTGGTGGCCGGAGATCCTGTCACCGGGGACGAAGGTGGGGTACCACTCTTCAAACAACAGGGGAGAAGCAAATGAGAAGCGGGCATCACATCCACAACGTTTGGTGGGGTCAGGATTTGGTGTTCATGTCCTCCAGGAAAGGCTGGAGATGGGGTGGGGGTAGCCCTGAGGACCATGCTGCTGGAGACCCAGCCAACTGCTGTTGCTTTGGGCAGGATGATCTTCAGAGGTCCCTCCTGGCCTGCATTATTCTGGGACTGGGTTAATCTTGAGGAAACTCTGTAGGCTGGTTCAAAGAGTCTCCATTTAGAGGCACCCAGCCTTAGATAAACAAAACTAAGCCTCTGAACACCCTGGTCACCAACCTCGGTAGAAATTATACCCTTCAGAAAACGTGAATCTCAACTGCACTGGCATTTCTGGACTGGAGACCGATCTCTTCATCAATTGAGATGCTGAAGCCAATGGTGCCTTGTGGCTGCCAAATGGTTGTTTTAATACAGTATCACTCAGATACACGCCTGTCAGCCAGAAAGGTTTTGTATGATGCCATCCAAGGAAAACAAGGCATTTCCAGTGAAAGGGAGCAATAGGCGTGTCCTTCCACGCAGCCATTCCTGCAGCCTGGAATTGCGTGGGCTCCACCTGAAAAAACAGGTGTTTAAAATAATTTCTCATGGCTCTGCTCTCTCCTACTCTTGTCCTTTCCCACCTTCATCCTGCCACAGAATCACAGAATCCCATGGGGTTGGAAGGGACCTCTGGAGATCATCTAGTCTAACCCCCTGCCAGAGCAGGTCCACCCAGAGCAGGTTGGACAGAATGATTTCTGGGCAGGTTTTGAATGTCTCCAGAGAAGGAGACCCCACGGCCTCCCTGGGCAGCCTCTTCCAGGGCTCTGCCACCCTCACAGCAAAGAAGTTCCTCCTCATGTTGAGGGGGAACGTCTTATCTTCAAGTTTGTGCCCATTTCCTCTTGTCCTGTCCCTGGCCACCACTGGAAAAAAGACTGGCTCAATTGTCTTGACACCCACCCTTTAAGTATTTATAAGCATCGATCAGAACGCTCTTGAGAATAATTGCCTTGAGAATGATTCCCAGGAGAAGAAGTGTAGCCTCTTGGGAGTGATACGTCAGCGCTGGGAAGAGGTTTCTCTGTATTTCCTGCTCCAGGAGGCTAAAGGGATCCTCCGTTCTGCCTTAGACCTGGGGAGATGGATCAAACCACTGCCTCCATCCTGCTAGCCCTGCAGGTCCGAGATGGCTTTAGTGGCTTTTCAATTATAGGGTGTGTCTTTCCCCATCCCGCTCCTCCCTTGGCCTGCTGGAGCGGGACCACATCATTACCATGCAAAGCCCCACCATCTGAACTCTCCAGGGCACAAGTGGATGCTCTCCTGTCAGGATATTCATGTTTTCCTGCTCTTGGATGACTAGCTGCTCATTACCATAGGCAGCAGCCCTGCAACGCTGCCTTCCCCCGTTCCTGGACAGCACTCTTCCCGTGCTATGAAAATCAGCTCTCATCAAATTATTACAGCTCCTTTTATTGCCGGGGTGCTACGTCCCAAAAGATGCAGGTGTCAGGAGAGGGTTCCAGTCATTATCGCTCCTCAGCCTTTGATGAACATTAAACACCTCTCCAAGCTTGATGCCACATCACAGGCTTCCCACGCGACACCACCAAGTCTGCTTTAGTAGGGCCGGAGAGGTTTGCAAATAGGTTGTTGTGTTTTTTGTTTTTTTTTTGTTTGTTTTTTTTTTTTTTTTTGTTTGTTTTTTTTTTTTTTTTAAAGTATTTTTAAAAGCAGCAACCAGGTAGATCTGCAGAGCTGGATTCTCATTAACCTCTCGCTGGATGGAGGCACAGATCACAAATCACACAACCCAGGTCAGATATCTATCTGATGCGCTCAGGACCCTGAGCCTTGAGCAGCAGGGACCGACCCAAACAACCTTGAACTCTAAATGATCAAACATGATGTGTTGGGGTTTTTTTTCCTCCAGCTTGCATTCACCCTCACACTTATTCCCTTGGTCCCCAGAGCAAGCACCAGCAGAAACCCCTCTGCGTCAGGCACTGGCACAGCTCTAGCCACCCCTTATCTTCAACTGCTGATGCTTCTCAAGGCTTTACTGCAAAAAAAACCCAGTCTTCTGTATTTTTTGGAATCCTCAACAAGTGCCTTTTGGAGGGCAAGGAGAGCCCACAGAACCCTGCAGCCACCCAAAACCCAAGGGGCACACACACAACGCCCCCGTGGGGGCTGCTGCTGAGTGAGGCAACTCATGACCTCCTCCAAGACCATGCTTCAGCAGCAGTCAGGGGGGTGAAGCCACACTTTGATAACCCGGTGGGGTTCGGATGGGATGGCAGGGACACTTTCTCATCATCTTCAAACCACCTCCCAGAAGGAACAGGGGGTCGTATGGTGGTAGGGCCACCTCCCACCATCTCTTGGCCAAGGGAAGTACCAAGCGATGAGCTGGAAGACAAACTCGATGTCCATCCCAGGCTCATTTTGAGACACCACGCCAAGGTGGGGAGGTTGTACAGAGGAACACTCTTCCGGAGGGTGATCTCCATCTCTGTGGTGAAATGCACATACCATGAGATGGAGCTGCTGGTCTGGTTAAAGTTCCTTACGAAGCCGCAAGAGTTAGGAAAATTTTTCTTTTGTTTGTTTTTTCTTTTTTCGTCCTGTGTCCTGAGGTCCAGGAGCACTCCCATGAGTCCCGTCCTCTTTGGCCAGTGCTCCCCACAGCCGGGCACAGCCCTGATGGCCACCTCCTGGGGCTAAGCCCACCTCTCTTCCCACGCCAGCCAGCCTGTCCTGCCCGCCAACACACACCTTGCCCTTTTGTTTTCGGCTCCACACCTAGTTTTGTTTTTGTTTTTTTTTTTTCCCTTCCTAATGGCGAAGGGCTGGCTACTCATCTGTAATTCAAAAGACAGCGATGAC